GGCGGAGAGGCCAAAGGGAGGGGGCAGAGAGGCCTGGGCCGGCGTCCCAGCCCCCACCTGGACACCCGCGGGCCAGGACCCGCGACACTGATCTGCTTGGCCTCCCAAACGCTCCAGCTATTTCCCGTCCCCTCTCCTCTGGACGCACAGAGCAAGAGCCGGGGAGGAGTTGGAGAGGTGCAGGTTTTCCTCTAGGAATTTGTATGTTTTTTAAAAAAGCAAGCAAACCTGGAAAAGCTTGGGACAAGCCCAGCTAATTTTAGTTTCTAATGAAAACAGCAGGTGGCTGAGAGGATCTGATCTCCCTGGCAGGGCCCTCAAGCCTCGAGGCTGCAGGCACAGGCCGGGCCGGGTACAGGGAGGGCTTCCTGGGAGGGGCCTCAAGGACCTGCAGTTCCCCCTTAGAGAGGCTCTGGGGCAGGGGCGAACTCGACTGGTAGGGTAACCCAATCAATGGCACGGCCATGGTGAGAGGCCTGAGTGGTCAGGCGGCCAGTGGCAAATTGCTCAGCAGTGGCAGAAAGAAGTCTGAAGTGGGGCAATGCCACCAGAACCAGAGAAGAAGCGGGGATGGTTGAGGCCCTCCCAGGCCCAGCCCAGGCCGGCTGTAGCCACCTCCAGTCACGTCCAGGCACTCTCTCTCCCCTAGAAATGGCTGGGGCAGTCGATATTTGAGCCCGGTCCAGTGCCAGGGTCAGAAAGTGGCACGTGTGGTTCTGGGGGAAAGTTGAGCCACCTTAGGGCCCAGGGAGGGGTCCTGGGGCCCCCAGGACCAGTGGGGCCTAGCCCCAAAGGGTCTTCAAGCCCTCGGCAGCTGAAAGGCAAAGGGTAGGAAGGGCTCCAGAGGCAGCCTCAACTTAACTCCCCAGCCCCTGCTTTCCCTACTCTGTGTTCTCTGCCAGGAGGCGAGCAGAGGGGACTGAGGCAGGACAAGCCCTCCATTCATGCTGCAGGGAGGTACTGAACACTTCCTGCGGGCCACGCTCTGTGCTAGGCTCCAAGGAGGCTGACAGACAGACAGACATGACACAGGTGATATTGGCCCCTCTCAGCCATCAAACAGGGCAAGGCCATAGCTAGGCACAGTGGAAGAGTTGAGAAGCAGACGGCTGGGTTTACATCCCCGCTTTGCCACTTTCCAGCTGTGTGACTCTGAGCGAACCACTTCACCTCTCTGGGCCTCAGTTTGCTCACCTATAAAATGAGGTCAGGCACCCTAACCAGAAGCCAGAACAGCAAGCCAAAACACTGTGGGCAAGGGCCTGTGATGCATGGGGTCCTACCTTTCTCTACCCTCCTTCCCCAGTTCCAGCACCCAGCCCTTCCCAGGCAAGACCCTGTGAGGCTGTGCCTCATGTGGCATGGAAGGGGACAGCTGTTGTGCCAGATGAAGACAGGGGCTGGGGGTGGTGGGCATTGGTGCCAGGCATGGGGGCAGGGAGGCTCCTTGGCGGAAGAGGTTTCTCAGCTTCTTCCTGGAAGCTGTCCCAGTGACTCACGGCCATGGCAGCCCTGCACTTACCCCTAAATCCCTGCTACTGTCATTTCAGCGTAGTTCTGAGCTGAGGGCAGAGGGGATGGGCAGCTCACTCCTTGCTCAGTGACAGGATCTCCATCTCTCAGCCTGGACCCCTTCTCCCAGCCTGTGGAAGGAGGACTGTCAACTAACTCAGCGGAAAAGGCCAAGGCTGGACAGGCCTCTTAGTCCATTGTACCCATGGGGAGACTGAGACCCAGAGTGGGGTAGGGACTTGCCCAAGGTCACACAGCCTGCTCCTCCCTGCCAGAAGAAGCCTTGCCATCACCCCCATCACCAGAGGCCAGTGCTAGCATAGCCTGACTTGGCCACCTTAGCTGGACAGAGAGGGAGCAGAGGCTGGGATGAGGACAGGCCACCTCTCTGCCCCAGTGTCAGAGGGAATAGGGCCCCGTCTCCCTCCAAAAGGCCAAGTTTGGGTCTGAGCAGAGTAGCATCCAACTTCAGGTGCAACTCCTGTCCTCACAATCACCTACACCCATGACCTCCCAAACATGGACCTGGCCCGTCGCCAGTAGCTGGGCTCTTGGCGCCCCCTGCAGGCCAAGAGCAGCAGGTGGGACTGGCTCCCTAGGAGACCCCTTCCTGCAGCTAGCCCAGGAAGGGCGAGTGCCCAGGCAGGGCTGAGGAGCCAGACCAGCCCCCTTCCCTTTCAGATGCACACTGCCCCTGCCCCTCCGGCATCTTCCACCGTCATCTCCCCTGAGGGGCTCGGACTCTGGCCTGGGCTCCTTCAAGACATTGCCAGACTCTGCCTCCTCTGGGCAGGGCCTGGTGGAGAGGACAGAGAAGGCCCAGGAGACCAGGAGTGCAGGGGGCAAGGGGAGTTGGGCTGCCACCCACCTCCCACTCACCTGTGCTGCCAGAAAAGAAAGAGACCCTCACCATTACCAAGTCCCTATGGTGTGCCCACTGAGAGCCAGACGGGTTCATTTCTCACAGCAGCCCTCTGCGAGAGGAACAATTACCTCCACAGGCAGATGAGGAAAGACAGACCAGCCCGCATCCAGAGGGTGAGGAAACGTCTCAGGGGGCCTACTGAGTGGTGAGGAGAGTGGTATCCCTGAATTAGGTCTCCCTCCTTGGGCTTAGCAGGAAACGTCACCAGCAGTTACCCAGAGCATCCCCCTAACTGCCCTCCAGCCCAGTGCTAGCCTGGCTGCCTAACCATTCCTGCAAAGGTGTTAAAAACCCAGATGTGTGGGGCCCAGGCACCTGCATTTTCAACAAATCCGACAAATGCTTCTGATGCAGAGTCAGATTTGAGAACCGTCACTCTGGTCCAACCCACATACCTGACAAATGGAATCCTGCATACCTCCAGGGGTGGGGAACTCAGTAGCTCTCCAGGCAGCCCACCCTAGCCTGTATCCTTAGGGTGAAACAACCCAGCTCCCTGCAGCTTCTGCCCACTGGTCTCAATTCTAATCCTTGAGCTGCATATAAAAGACTACTGTCTCCATCAAAGGTTGTGGAGTCAGGCACAACCAGGTTCAAATCCTGGCTCCACCCCTTACCAGCTGCGTGACCTCTTGCACACAAAGCCAGTTCCTTAACCTGGCTGTGCCTCGGTTTCTTCCTCTGTAAAATGGGGTTTCATTGGCTTGTCAGGAGGATGAAACAATAATGTAAGTGAAGTACCTAGCTTAGTCCTAGCTAAGTTCCATAAAATTTAGCAGTTCTTATTACTGTAGTCATAAAAATATCTCCTATTTCAATAACACTTTCTATGTAATTTTCCATTCGGTTATCATTCATTGTTTCATTCAGCAAGCAAATGTGAGTTCCTGCCTCGTGGCCTCAGGCCCCACATCAGTCCATCTTTCACCCACAGGATCCCTTTGGCTTCTGACAATAGTCCCCTGACATAGGCAGAACCAGTGCTATCTTCCCCATGCTACAGATGAGGAAACTGAGTCCCAGAAAGCCATGACCTGCCTGAGGACTCAGACCCAGCCCCTCGGCTCTGCCTCTCCCATGGTCTTTCCTAGGATAAGAAATTTTTGCAGCTTATCAGGTGCAACAGCATCCTTACCTCTCACCCCCAGTGGGAACCCCAGTTTGCTGGACAAGTCCCTGGGGGTCTGGTTCCCTGCAGAGTCCAGGGTGGCAGGACACTCACTCTCCTTTGTCCAGAGACCCTGACCTGAGCAGCTGAGGCTGAAGGTAGAGTCGGGGCCTCAGCTTCCTCCTGGGAGTTCACAGGAGGGCCCCATTCCCTCCCTGGGCCTCTCACCATGCTCACCTGTTAAATGAGGGTTTGGACCAGACCACTGCCAGGAAACATTCCCTAAGTCTGTCATTCTCTGCACTCTGCTTTCCTCCAAGAGCCTGGCAGCCCTGCCTGGGAGATGCTCAGACACCTCTCCACTGGACACATGGGGAAGGAGGCAGGCGGCAGAGAGGAGGCCTTCCAGAGCCACCCCTCAGCTCTCCTCCCACTGCCAGCTGCCACTCCCTTTTGTCTGCACACCTTCAATGTGCACTTGGCCCTGGCTGGAGACGCTGGGGGAGAAGGGTAGGGGCAGTGCTTAGGGCAAGAGCCAAGGGGCCATCTGGACCTGGGCTCCAATCCAGACTGCCCTTACAAGCTGAGTGACCAGGAGCCAGGCATGTCACCTCTCTGAAAAGCAGCTTATACTTAGTAGGTGCTCAGTTAATGGGGGCTGCCCCTCCCTCACAGGGCCTTCCCCAGCTCTGCTCCCATGCCAATGAGCATTTTTGCAGTCTGGATCCAGGCCCCCTTACCTCCTGGCCCAGATCTCAAAGTGTATGTCAAGAGATGGGCAGACCCTCCTGGGCCCCTCAACCCGCCACTGAGGACGGGCAGGAGGAAGGCCCAAGGGGCTAGAAGGGGTTTGAAGCTTGGCTCTAGCACTTGCTACCTGCCACCTTGGGCATGTCACTCTCTTAGCCTTTATTTCAGAATCTGTAAAATGGGCAGAATAATTATTACCTCACAGATTTGTGGGGAAAGTGCAACAGGACAAAGTGTCCGCCACAGTAAGTGTTCAATAAACAGTGTGCTCATGCCTGTCCTCCCCAGAAATTGAAGCATTTACAACCCCTTCACTGGTCACAGAGTGCCTTCACGTGAGTTATATTTGGATTGTGACCCTTGCAATTAACCTATGAGGTGGGGCAAGCATCATTGCCCCCACTTTAAGGCTGTAAAGCTCAAGAGGTGCTGGGGATAGCATGGCAAACCTTGTCTTTGAAAGCTCCCCCCTCCAATACCCATGTCATGTCCACCCCAGCCCCACAGCCCATCACGGCCTTCATTATCCCACCCCCAAGGGCTGCAGCGATGACACTGGCCTGCATCTGGCTGTCCTGGGACATGGCTGGCAGTGAGGAACTTGGCCTCACTGGCAGCCAGAAGGTAGACGGAGGTTGCCAGGGTCCCTGTGTGGGGAGGTGAAAGACAGACACCCTGGGCAGACAGCAGCTCCAGCCTTCCAGGGACAGGGCCTCTCTACAGGAAGTGTAGGAGCCCGTGGGTTGGTGAGATAGATGGGGTACCATCAGAAAGACAGACACTGATGCGGAAGCCTCCCAGGCAGGGTGGGAGCCCAGGGTTGAGGGCGCTGCTGACTGCTCTGTCTGAAGACAGGGCCTGTCTTGTGGAAGACAGCACTCCCGCCCTGCTGACCCCCAAGCACTGGGCAGGAGGGCCTGTCACTGGATCCCGAAAGAAGTCGACAACCAGGACCAGTTGCTGGGACCAGTCATTTCCAGACCCCAGGACTAGGGCATAGACCTCGTCTGTCAGGGAATGGAAAGAGGAGGCAGCGGGGGCCCTGGGGCCGCCTGTGCACAGCATTCCACCTCCTGCCACTCTCTCCCCAGGTACCTGGCCAAGCTGTCATCGGTGGGGAGCATCTCGGAGGAGGAAACGTGCGAGAAGCTCAAGGGTCTGATCCAGAGGCAAGTGCAGATGTGCAAGCGGAACCTGGAGGTGATGGACTCAGTGCGCCGCGGCGCCCAGCTCGCCATTGAGGAGTGCCAGTACCAGTTCCGGAACCGGCGCTGGAACTGCTCCACGCTCGACTCCCTGCCAGTCTTCGGCAAGGTGGTAACACAAGGTGAGGGAAGCCATAGGGGGTCCTGAGGCTGGCCGTGGTGCCGGGGGTGTAGGCCCTGAGCCCAGGGCCACCCAAAGAAGCCACCACTTCGGTGGGTGGGGAATACTATGATGGGGAACATAAAGAATGCGGTCATTGGAGCCTGGGGTAGATGGACCCAGGCAGAAGGTGAGTTTGGGGCCAGTGGGCTCGTGCTTGGGCATCTTGCTAGAGTGTGCAGTGTGTTCCATCGCAGCTTCACTTTATAGAGGAAGAAACCGAGGCTCAGGCAGGGAAACGACTTGGTTGCCCAAGGTTCCTCAGAGTTGATAGTAGACTCGGGATTCATATGGGGGGGAGGGGCTCCAGACCCCCACTCCAGTGCTGTTTCTACCTTGGAATTCTGCCTCATGTATTTGTGCATCTGACAAACCACACTGAATAGCTCTACCGTGCCCGGCCCTGAATACAGGGATCAACAGGACCCAGCTCCTACTCTCTCGGGCTCACAGTCCAGTGGGGGAGACAGATAAGTAAATACGACAACACAGTAGGACTAGTAGCTTGCACATCTAGAGCACTACCTATGGACCAGACACCATTTTAATAATATCAATCATCTAGCCCTTTGGGATAGGCCCCCCATATTGCAAATGAAGAAACTGAGGCACACAGACGTTAAGTAACTTGCCCAAGGTCACAGAGCTAGGAAGTAGCAGAGCCAAGACTTGGACACAGGCAACCCAGCTGCAGAGTCTATGCTCTTACCCACAACGGGGAAATGCCGTGATGGAGGGGGCACAGGAGCCTAGGGGACCACAAAGGTGGACACCTCCCCTAGCCAGGTGGGGTGATCAGTGGAGGCTCTCTGGAGGAGGTAGGCTTTCAGCTAAGACCAGAAAGATGAGAAGGCCTTAAGCCAAAGGAAGGTGGGTCAGAGCATAGAGAACTGGAAGGCACTGTGGGTTAAGAGCTTGGCTGCTAACCAAAAGGTTAGCGGTTTGAATCTAATAGCTGCTCCTTGGAAACCCTGTAGGGCAGTTTTGCTCTGTCCTATAGGGTCACTATCAGTCGGAATCGACTCAACAGCAATGGGTTTTTTTGTTTGTTTGTTTGTTTTGTTTTGTTTTGTTTTGTTTTGTTTTGGCTTTTCGGGAAGGCTCCTTGCACTTGAGGGAGTGCTCTAAACCAGCTGCCTCTTTTTCTACTTTCTGAGCATGAAAGTGACACTTCGGAGCCACCACCAGTAGGCAGGGCCCTCTGACTTGCTCAGGCTGCCTGAGCCAACCTTTGTCTTGGCACCTGAGGTCCTGGACGACTAGGGCTGCTGGGCTGTGGCAAACCAAGTGGATGTTGTTGGAAACCAACTGTGATAGAAATTTGGAAGCCATTCTCCCAGGAGCTGGTAGGGCCAAAAAGGCATGATCATGCCTGGCATTGCTGAACATCACTGCTCTGGAAAAGAGGTGGAGACCCAGTGAACAGCCTGATGGTGAAGGATCTTCAGGATGATGGTGCCCACTGCTGAGGGCCTGTGGCTGCCTGTTTGATGAAGCCCAGATACTAGCTTCACGCCACAGACCCTGAGCTCAGGACAGCCCCTCACACACAGTAGGTGTTCAGTGAGTGTTTTGGATGAATTGATGGGTAAGGCAACAGAGTTTCATAGGCCACACTCCTTTTCCCCTCCACATCTTAGTCCATCCTATGTCCTCTACCCCGAATGTCCATGGCCCTTCTCGAGCAGCACAGCAATCCCCCCTCCACAAAGCCTTCCCAGCTCCTGCAGGCAGGTGGTTGCTCCTTCCTGGGGGTTCCCATGGCTCTTTATTCTTGCTGGATTTTTTTTTTTCCCTTCCTTTTTTTTTGTAACTTTGTTTTAATACAAAGTATAAAGTTTTGAAAAAAGTACAGAAAAGTTGCAAAAACAGTACAAGGAATTCCCATATCCTTTTTATCCAGGTCCAGCAACTGTTTACATTTTAACCCATTTGCCTTATCATTCGCTCTCTATGTATTTATATATATATGCACATTTTTTCTAAGCCATTTGTGTTCACAGTTTTGTTATTACATCTTTTGGACTGAACTGTGATGCCTGTCTCTCCCCACTCTTCCCGCTCCCGTATCACTAAACCTTGAGCTCTTTAAAGGCAAAAGTGAGGCCTCCTCTACCTGTTTCCCCAGCACATGACAGAGGCTGGCATGAAGGAGCAGTCAACAGATGTCATCTAATAACAGGAAGCAGGTCAGGGCAAGGACTTGAAGGGGCACAGCCACGTAGGCCAGTGCTGGCATGAATCCAGTGAGCATTCTCAAGACCCAGTAGAGAAGTGCTTGCCTTACTTGTGGGGGCAGAAGCCAAGGAGGGGGCACCCAGGCCTGACTCAGCAAGTTGTGGAGACATTGAGAATCCTATCAGGTCTGGCTAGAACCTACTCCAGGGTAAAGTCTGAGTGGCTTGGTCAAGTGTCCAGTCCCCTCAGAGCTGAGTCAAGGTACCCTGACCCAGGACAGCCCCATCAAGCACGTCCGTTGTGTTTGGAGGAGGAGTCTGAGCTCTCTGCCCTTTCACCCATCTCTCCACTTTTGTAGTTTCAGGTTTTTTTCCCTGGTAAAATTCCTCTTGGAAAATTCTGTATTTTCCATTGAACAAGGGGAAAACGGAAAGCCAAGAGGAAAAATCCTGAGGCCTGAGGGCAAAGTGCTGGCCTCAGGAAATTCAGGGATTAATGAGGCAGAAGGAGAGAAGCATGGGCAAGCATGACCTTGGGCAAGTGACTTCACTCCTTGGAGCCTCGGTGTCCTCACCTGTCCATGAGACTGGCACTACTGCTTACCTCATAGGGTTGTCATGAAGATCCAGTGACCAATGACCTTGACCTGAGAGGAGCTGTCAGTAATCAATGTTGCCATCCTCATCTTCGTGGGCTTCAGTCCCCCATCTCATTCACACCCTCTAGCTATTGGGGTTAGGAGTTTGGCTGAAGCCCACATACATGAGCTGCCTGTGTGGGGACATGGCCTCAGGCTCTGGAAGAGGAAGAGCTAACAGATCCCACCCACAATCCAGGCCATAGTTAGAGAAGGAAAAACAACCAACAGTTGCTGTCGAGGCAACTCCAACTCATGGCAACCCCACGTGTGTCAGAGTAGAACTGCACTCCATAGAATTTTCCATGGCTGTGGACTTTTGGAAGTAGATTTCCAGGCCTTTCTTCTGAGGTGCCTCTGGGTAGATTCAAACTTAGTAGATGGCCACTTAACCATCGCATCACGCAGGCACTCCTCAGAGAAGAAAGAGCTCTCATTTGTCGAGGGCCTACTATGTGTTCTCACATCAGATCATCCTCACAACAACTCTGTGGAGTTGTAATATTGTTCCCATGGTACACCTGGGAAAGGAGGCTTAGCGAGCAGAGGGTGGTCACGTGCCCAGATCCTGCATCTGCCTGCCACCTCCTGGCTATGAGATCTCGGGCAAGTCCTATCCCGTCTAAGCCTCGGTGACCTTTTCCTCCCTGTAAAATGGGGACAATCGCAGGACCAACCTTCTAGGACTCCAGTGAGGATTCAGAGAGATGATGCAGATGAGGGGCTCATTCACCCTCCCAGGGCCCCCGGGGGCAGCACCATGACTGCTGGCATCGCCCAAGGTCTCAGTTCCAACTCCATGTGCCCTTCATTCCCTGTAGTGGAGGCTACCCCTGCTCCTGGCCCTCAGAGCCAAGACGGGTGGTGAAGTAATGGTGAATGATGAGGACTCTGTGTAATTTGAGGCCAAACTGTGTGCTCTACGCTGAAAATCTACCAGAAATTTGCTAGAGATGGAGTCTGGCGCAGCTGGGAAGGAGGGAGGTGAGTACTTGATTGAGCAGGCATTAGGGCCAGATGAGGATGGCCTTTGTGTGTTTTGGTCACTGCTTGACCCTCGATCTGCTCATAGGAGGTAATCGACAGATATCTGTTGAATGAATGTAAAGGGTCTGAGTGTAGGAGGGAGAGGACCAGGCAAAAGTTCAAGGTCACAGTGAGCAGGCCGTGCTGGAGTGTCATCGAGTGGGCTGCTCAGTGGGAACTGGAAGTGGGAAAGGTGAGGAAAAACTCCTCTTGCTTTCCCCCATCTGTGGACAACAGTGGGCCTCCACCTACCTCTATCATGTGATCTCATTCACGTCCCTGTCCCAAGAGACGAAACTCAATGAGCCCCATGTCCCCTCAGGCTCTGACTGCTGTGGTTGGGACGCCATGTGTGCCCTGGCCTTGCAAAGTGAGGATTCAAACCCAGGCCCATCTTTGACCCCAGAGCCCAACCTCTCCACTCCCCATGAGCCTGACACCATCTAGGATACCTTACTGACATGACACCAGGCTGGATTTCAGAAGTAAATGCTTTTCAGTCCTGGGCTGCAACCCTCTATAACCTGTGTCCTTACCTTTGTCATTGACATTGTCATCGAGTTAGACCCAATTTGTGTGAGAACACTGTTTGGTGCCATCAGATAAGCCACAGGAGGCCTGGGGGAAGGGAGCACCCCAGACATGCTCCTGGACTGGGAGCTCCTTGAGGACAGGATTTACTTCAGTACCCCTAGTGCATGGGGCCTCGCTCAGGGCAGATGATCAGCAAAAAGCAAGCAAAAGATGCTGCTGAGGAAGCTGAAAGGTCAACGGCAAACACGTGGTCAACTCAATGACCTTCAAATGTCCTTGCCCAACTGATATCTGTTAGCAAATGAATAAAAGGGCATTAACCACCCACCAACAATCACAACAGCTACTATGTACTGAGTGCCTACTATGTAGTCAAGAACCGGACTAAGCACTTTCCATATTGCATGTCATTAAATCTTCATAATCACTGCTGAGTAGGTACTCCTGTTAACCAATTTTATAGACAAGAAAACTGAAATCACACCTCTAAGAAGTGGCAGAGCCAGGACTAGAACTCAAGCCTGCCTGGCTGAGCACCTATACTCTTTCCCACTGCTTAACTCTGTCTCCAGGTAGCTGTGCTGGGGGTTCCAGAGGAGACATATGAGGGACAGCCTGGCCCCAGGAGCTTCCAGTCTGGCTAAACAGGCCAAACACACCAGCAAATTGGAAGATAAAATAGGCTTCAGCCTGTTACCAATCACATGGGACAGGCATGCCAGCGAGAGCACCTGGGGTCCTGGGAAGCGTGTGAGGGTGCAAGAGGAATGTGGAGAAGAGCTAAGGTTTGGCTTACCAGGCCAGCATTACCATTCCCATGTCAGAGGTGGGGAAATGAGGTACAGAGAGGAAGGCCTCACTGCTAGTAAGTCTAACATGGCTTTGTCTGGCTCCAAAGCCTTTACTCTTTACTTAAATCCAAAGAGGCTTCTTGGAGGTGGTTTTTAAACAAGGTGAGCTTTTGTAGATGAGAGGGGGCCAAAGGAAACCAGAAAAGCAGTCTGGGGGCAAGGATGGAAAGAGGGCAGGGGATAAGGTCTTTCTCTGAGCTGTGTGCCTATCCTCCCTCGGTTGCCAGCTGGGTCTGCTCTAGAACAACTTGAGTTGTGCCTGTTCCCTCATTTCCACCAGGACACCTGCCCTGGTGCCCAGGGGATCACCATGCCCATGGCTTCCTTGCCAGCCCAACTCAGCCTCAGCCTATTCTCCCCCAAACACTCCTCCCATTCAAATGTCCTTCCTTCCAACATTTGGGAGAGACAGAAGAGCATGGGTCTTGAGTCAGACAGGCCAGAGTTTCAATTCCTGCTTGGCCACTTACTGGCTGGGAGTACCCTGGGCAAGCCACTGAGCCTCACTTTCTTCCTCTGGAGAGCAGAGCTGGAGGGAGTGGGTTGCCGGTTTTCATGAGCCTTAGAGACATATGGAAAGGCCCTGGCACACAGTGGCCCTCAGAAAGGGTAGCCATTGTTGGATCCACAGGACAACTCTTGAATTCCCAGTCCCAGGCAGCCTTCATCTTGGAAAAGATGACATTGAAGCCGGGCCCAGAGTACACAGAGGATTCAGACCTGTGAAGCCAGGGAAGGGAGGTGGTCTGGGAAGGGCAAACAACAGGAAGAAAGGAGTTGGGTGTGGAATAGGGCAATTGGCTTTATGGAAAAGAATGAATGTTGTAGGGCTGTTGTCGGCACCTTAAAGCATTCTGCCTTACCCCGGCCCGGCTCTACTGTCCCAGAACAGGACAAAGCGAGGACTGCCTTCTTCCTGTGGCTGGGAACATCAAACCACCTCACCAGGAGCAGTTATCCACCACCTCGCTGTGGAGCCCCACTGCTACACTCCAGATTCACCACAATCCTCTGTCTCAGCAGCCTCAGGGTACAGCAGGCCCTGCCTGGGTCCTCTATTAGCAAGCAAGGGGCTTGCTGGGCTCCTGGACACCAGGCAGAGGTGGGAGCCAGAAGCAGCCATAGCACTGGAGTCAAAGGGCTGGGACCAGGGCTGGTTAGAGAAGGTTGGAGAAGCCAATGGCATCAGTTTTAGGGGCAAGGTGGCTTGACCACATTCTCCAGGCCTTCTGGAGCCTCTTGTGCTGACCCAGGCCAACTGTTCACCATCCCTGGTAAAGAAACCACAAAAGGAACTGGGCTTACCCTACAGTACATGGGATTTAGGGTAGACCTAAGGAAGTCCTTCTCGACTTCATACATGGGAGGTGGAAAGAGATGAACTGTATGTGTATTACCCAGGGGCTCAGGGCCTCCATGAGGCAGGATAATGTTGAGGTCGAAAGCTCTGGAGCCAGACTGCCCAAGTTCAAGTTCTGACACCACCATTTCCTAGCTGGGTATTTTGGACAAGTTGTTTAACCACTCAGTGCCTAGGTTTCTTCATCTATAAAATGAAGATTAAAAGTATCTACTTCATAGGGTTGTTGTGAAGAGTATATGAATTAATATATGTAAGGTGCTAGCCCAGCATATTATTATTATAAGCTATTCGAAATCCAGGTGGCATAGTGGTTAAGAGCTACAGCTGCTAACCAAGAGATTGGCGGTTTGAATCCACCAGCCGCTCCTTGGAAACTCTATGGAGCAGTTCTACTCTGTCTTATAGGATCGCTGTGAGTCAGAACTGACTTGACCCACCGGGTTTGGTTTTTGGTTTCTAGAAGCTTTAGCTCTTATCATCATCATCTTCCAGAATCTCTTCCTTCAGGCCCACTCCCATGCTGAGAAAGCCATGGTGTCTTTGTTCCTAAGGTCAGGGCAAAGGGCACCAGGAGTCCCAGCGGATGGATGCTGGCTTGGGGAATGAGACAGAAGTCTCCCTGAGCAATCTCACAGGGGGCCCTGCACCCCAGGGGCTAATAGTACTCAGGGAAGGAGGTCCTCCCAGAGCTGGGGGTGCACCTGGGGCTGCCAGAGAGCCACAAGAAGCAGAGGTGAGACAACCACACGAGGTCAAGAGCTGGAGCCACTCCTAGGTCCCATTAGCCCTATCTCCTGATTTGACTTCCCTTCCTCCTTGGTCTTTGGGGCAAAGATATATGCTGGTTCAGGCCTGGAAATACCAGAAATACCAGAAACTGAAGTTGTCTCTTTTGGGTGGCCACAGCACAAAACCAACCAACATGATCCTGCTATTAACCTCAATTAACTTGGAGAAGATTCTGTCTCAGGCTGTCAAGGCCCCACTGCTTCAGCCAAGCCCCCAGTGCTGGCCGAAAGTGGCCAGGCTGGGGCAAAGAGAGAGCAGTGGAGAGAGGGTGGTGGGCGGTATCCCCATCTAAAGGCCCGAACCAAGAACAGGGTGTCCCAAGTCGCCGAGGACTGAGCTGCCTCCCACCCTAGTGCCGACTTCTGCTGCCTCTGTCCACAGACACAGGGACAGAGGAGGTAATTGTTTAGTCTGACCACGGTGGCTGCTCCCCGGGACAGCTGAGAGCGCAGGCCTGGGTGTCGCAGAGGTAACTGCCAACCACGGGGCCAAAACCTGCCCCCTCCACTCCTGCAAACACAGGCACTCCAGCAAGAGACAGAAGGACAGTCACGGGCACACAGAGGCCCTCACAGGGCCCAAGAGGGGAGCCGGGTTGTCTGGTCACACACTCAGCTGGCTACGCACACAGGCACTGCACACTCTTCCCCAGCCCCACCCCCAGAAAGTCTCCACAGCCACTACACCCCCCTACCACACACACACCCCTGAGGCACAGTTCTACACAGCACAGTTCCTAGGAGGATAAAAACACCCATTCAGGAAGGGGACGAGGGCAGGCACCAAAACAGAATCTCTGAGCAGTCAAGGGCAGAAGGAAGAGAACAGGCGGCACAGGCAGACAGATCAGCGTTTGAGTCCTGCTTCTCTCACTTCCTGAGCCTTCGTTTCATCATCTGTAAAACGGGGACAGACAAAGCTCTGGTGGTGGAAGGCTTATGCGTAATAGACACCTAGTAACCAGCAGCAGTTCTCGTTAGTAGGAGCTGATGTTACTATGATTTACTTTTGTGTGTGTGTGTGTGGTAAATATATAAGTAATAAAACATTTGCCATCTCAACAGTTTTTACATGTACGATTCAGTGACAGTATGATTTAGTCTTAAAGTTACAGGAAAACTTATGACATATTCAGAAACAGGCCTGCCTCAGGAGGAAGGGTGGGGACAGGAGCATAGGGCCAGGGGACCCCCCCTCAGAGCACAATGGGGCCAGCTGGGAAACAGAGAAAAAGCGAACAGGTTTTAGAGGAAACTAGCCCTGGATTTATAGCCCAGCACTGCTATTTCATAGCCTTGTCATCCCAGGTGAGTCCATTCACTTCTCCGAGCTGTTTTGTCTCCCGTAAAAATGATGTTAGCATCACTAATCTTCTGGAGAGCTTGTGAGAACAGTATCCCACAGTAGCTAAGAGCTCAGTCTCTGAAGCCAGACTGCCTGCTGTCTCAACCACGTGCTGTGTGACCATGGACAAGGTGCCTAACCTCTCTCTAAAATGGGGATAGTAACAGTACTTAGCTCATGGAGTGGCTGTGAGGATTAAAATGATCAGAACATATGAAGAACTCAGGGCAGTACTGGCGTATAGTAAGTGCACACGCAGCTCCAGGCACGATAAAAACAAGTGCCAGCAAGTGCCCGGCACACGAGTTCCACCTGCCTTGCCCTCCATGGGCTTCCATCATTCAGGAAGCCCCACATACCCCTACCCCTTCTGAAAAGGAGGGTGTAAGGGGGGAAGCACTGGGGCCTAGCCCTGTCCTCCCTTTGCCTCCCCACAGGGACACGAGAGGCGGCCTTCGTGTATGCCATCTCTTCAGCAGGTGTGGCCTTTGCGGTGACACGGGCGTGCAGCAGTGGGGAGCTGGAAAAGTGTGGCTGTGACCGGACAGTGCATGGTGTCAGCCCGCAGGGTAAGTGCAGGAGGCAGGCTGGGGCCACACCCTCCCTCTCCCCTTCCACTGGCTAGTGTAGGAGGGCAGGGTCCAGGGTCCTGGGCCCTGTCCCTCACCCGTCCATGGCACTCTCTATGCCCTACTGTGCCCCAGGCTTCCAGTGGTCAGGATGCTCGGACAACATTGCCTACGGCGTGGCCTTCTCACAGTCGTTTGTGGACGTGCGGGAGAGGAGCAAAGGGGCCTCGTCCAGCCGGGCCCTCATGAACCTCCACAACAATGAGGCTGGCAGGAAGGTAGTGTGGCTCCCACTCCCCATCATCACCGGGGGAGGGATAGGCACGAGGAAGGCCCCACAGCACTCCCCCACTCATACAGCCACTTGGAAAACATTTTCTCAGCTTCTAACCAGCACCAGGCACCTCCTGTAAGCCAGGCACTGAGCTGGGTGACAGGCACATTGGGACCAGGTCCCGGACCCTGTTGACAAGAAGGCCCCAGGCTAGCAGGGTGGGGAAAGTAGGTGTCATGGAACAGTGTAAACAGCCCCCAGCATAATATATACATGCCCCTCCTTCATACATATGTATGTATGTGTGTGTATCCATTCCTGTCACACACACACCCCTAAATTAGTAGTAGAGCCAGGATATGAACCCTTCTCTGTCACAGTAAAAATCATGTGCATAACTATGACGCTATACACCTTCTCAATATCTACTTTCAAGGTTCCTGTGAAGATTAAATGCAGCAGAGTTCTTCCCCATCATACCATTTGTCACTCACTGTTTCACATGACACTGCCCTTAAAGTGTCTCTCCTCCATCAACTGAGTGCCCCAAGGGCAGAGATAATGATCTTGTTCATCTGTTCCCAACACTGCTTACCTGCTTACCCAGCACGGCATATGAAAAAGGAAAAAACCCACTGCTGTTCCAAATCATAGCAACCCTAAAGGACACAGCAGAACTGCCCCATAGGGTTTCCAAGGAGCTGCTGGTGGATTCGAACCGCCGACCTTTTGGTTAGTAGCTGATCTCTTAACCACTGAGCCACCAGGGCTCCCCACGGCATATTTAAAAAAATAAACCAAACCTGTTGCCGTCAAGTCGATTCCAACTCATAGTGACCCTAAAAGACAGAGCAGAACTGCTCCATAGGGTTTCCAAGGAGCAGCTGGTGGATCTGAACTGCTGACCTTTTAGTTAGCAGCTGAGCTCTTAACCACTAGGTACTTAATGCAAAGGAAAGTTCCTGGGTAGTGCAGGTAACAAGCTCAGCTGCTAACCGAAAGGCTAGAGGTTTGAGTCCACCAAAAGTTACCTTCGAAGAAAGGCTTGGCAATCTACTTTCGAAAAATTAGTCATGAAAACCCTATAGAGCACAGCTCTACTCTGACACACATGGGGTCACCATGAGTCACAACTGGTGGTGGCGGTAATGCAGAGGAAGCATGACAGTAAATCTCCAATCCGCAGGGTAAGTGCCCCTACCATCTGTCCCCATGGCTCCCTCCCCAGCCTCCACTGACCTCTTCTCTGCCCCTCCCCCACAGGCTATCTTGTCACACATGCGGGTGGAGTGCAAGTGCCACGGGGTGTCAGGCTCCTGCGAGGTAAAGACGTGTTGGCGGGCCGTGCCACCCTTCCGCCAGGTGGGCCATGCACTGAAGGAGAAGTTTGATGGTGCCACTGAGGTGGAGCCACGTCGTGTGGGCTCCTCCAGGGCGCTGGTGCCGCGCAACGCACAGTTCAAGCCACATACAGATGAGGACCTGGTGTACTTGGAGCCCAGCCCGGACTTCTGTGAGCAGGACATACGCAGTGGCGTGCTGGGCACAAGAGGTCGTACGTGCAACAAGACATCCAAAGCCATTGACGGCTGCGAGCTGCTGTGCTGTGGCCGCGGCTTCCACACAGCCCAGGTTGAGCTGGCTGAACGCTGCAGCTGCAAATTCCACTGGTGCTGCTTCGTCAAGTGCCGGCAGTGCCAGCGGCTCGTAGAGTTGCACACATGCCGATGACTGCCTGCCTGGCCACATGCCCAGCAACCACCTAGTGGCCCAGGGAAGGCCGATAATTTAAACAGTCCCCCACCACCTGCCCCAAAAGATACTGGTTGTATTTTTTGTTTTGGTTTGGTTTTTGGGTCCTCATGTTATTTATTGCCAAAACCAGGCAGGCGACCCCAAGGTCACCAACCAGGGTCTCTCTGAAGCCTGGGCCTTTGTGGCTGCCACAGACCAAAGGGACCTTGCTTATGCCTCTGGCTGTCACATGGGCTGCTGCTGACCACTCCCTTGTTATCTGTACCCGTTCTTCTACTTGCAAATTTAAGGTGGGTAACAAGGAGTGTTACAGCCACATGGCTACTGGCCCTGCCATCTAGGAAAGGGAGGTGGCCCTGTGGCAGGGAAAAATCAGTGCCATCACGATGCAAGTTACACCACCCGCACCTGCAACCCCCAGAAAAAAAAGTTTACAACTCTCCACCCCCACACATACACACACTCTCAGCAGCTTGAGCCTGGTAGCCTTGCGTCTCAAGCCCTTGGAAAAGGAATGAGCAGATACCAGGTCAAAGGCAAAGGGTTCATTTCAGCCCTCATATGGGCAGCTGGAGGTCCAATCTGTGGTACCTTCCAGGCAGGAAGAACAGGTGAGGTGAGGGCAAGAGAAGGCAACAGTTCCACCCAGAGCTCAGCCACCGTAGCCACCCCCTCGAAGGCGGAACCCCTTCCAAGTTCCTCCCAGGCAGGAGTACAGGCTACCATCCTGGGTTAGAGATCCTAGTGGGGCCTTGCAGTGATGCCCCCATCTGAGTCACTTTCTCACAATGCTGCTCCTCTGTGAACCTGACAAAGGAAAGGAAATCACACACACAGAGGAAAGGCGGTATAAAAACTCCTCTCCCAACCATATTTCACTCACTTAACAAAATTTACTGAGTACTATGTTGCAGGCCAAGTACTGGGCCATCTCATCTGATAATCACAACAGCCTTGGGAGGCAGACAAAACAGGCCTTCTTGTGCCCATTTTACAGCTTAGAGGGAAATGACTGCCCACGTAACATGGCAAACTAGTTGAGGCTAAGCCAGAAGAGCCTGGCTTCTTCACCCAAAGGCACAGAAACTGCAGGATCTTTGGGTCCGAGCCTTGGAGAGGTGACTGGCTGGAGGGCAAGGGCAGGACAGCAGCAGGAGCCTGCATGACTCCTGAGGGCTGGACAGGCTCTGAGGGATGAGGTGCACCGCTGGAAGGCTGGCAAAGTAAGCAGCTGAGCCCTTTCCCCCCACAGGCCTCCCGGACCTGCAGGCCTCTGAGGTCCCAGGTTGCATGGGTAGTCCCCAGCAGACAGCACCAGCAGCCTGGGCCTGACCCTGTGTCCCAGCCAAACCCTCAGGCTTCTGTGAGCGGAACATGCACAGAACAAGACTTGGCCCTTGACCCCAGCTGCTTCCCAGTTGGGTTTCCAACCACCAGAGGAGCTTGCTGTTAGAGAGGCTCCTTCTCAGCCCCCAGCCCAGCCTCCAAGCTGCCACCACAGCGGGGCTCTAGGCTCCAGATTTGAGGTCTTGAGCTCTGGGATCCCCATTTGGAGTTCCCAGACCTCAAGCTCTTGGCTCCAGCATTCAGTATCTGAATTCAAAGTCCCAGATTCAGAATATGGTTCCAGCCTGCAGAAACTCCTCCAGGCCTTCTGGTTTGTACCTCCTGGTACTGGCTCCTTCATGAAGAGAGGGTCAACACCCTTGGCCTCCAGCCAAGCTTTCTGCTCAATGTCCATCCAGAAAGGAGGCCAAAACCAAGTGAGATGCTGGAGCCGAATGTGGGGATAATCTCGGGGCAGGCCGGCTCTGATGTGGATGAAAGGAGAGCTGCCCAAGAATCCCCCACAGCTGCCCAGCTGGGCCTACTGCTCCTGTCGGCTCAGTTCAGCTGGCTCTCAGTGCCAGGGAAAACACTATCCCTTAATGGCAGAAGCCAGACCCAAACGATGCAGTAGGGACCCTTCTCCCACTCCCCCAGAGAACAGGGCTGAGCCACTCTCTTCCACACCCAGGTCTTTTCCCCAGAGCTTAGGAGAGAGCCGAGTCCAGGCTGGTGTGGTGGTGGTAAGAGGGGTCTGTGCTTCTTCACAGGCTTCACCTTGCTGCCTGCGTGGGGACTGCTCAAAGCTTGCCCTCCTGGGGTTCTGAAGCCTTATGAGCTAGGGGAATTGGACTAGATTCTGGAAACCTCTGCCCACCACTAGCCTTACCACCACCACTTCCCCAAAGGCCAAAGGGATCTCGAGTCCCAGGAGCTTCCTTTAACACAGCCAGCTCCAAAATGCCCCAATAAAGGAGAGGAGGAACCAGCACAGGTCCCAGACATAGCCCACCCATTCTTGGTCCCGTAGGGGCCTGGAAGCTGGCCAAAGGGTCCCTGTCCTGTCCAAAATCCTCTCTACTAGTCTTGTCCCAAGACAATCGTCATGCCCTCTGAGGCCCAGGGCTGCACAAACAAGCCCCAGCTCTGGATGCTGCTACCCATCTCTGCTGTCCCCACACCATCATCCAATTTTTATACTAGGCTCCTTGCCATTGTGACATCCTCATGACATAGTCTGATGCACGATAAAATGATTATTTCTTTATCTTGCACTTGTGGCAGTGACTTTTTTTGTAGAAGAGGGGAAGAGAAACTTAGGGAAGAACATGAGAAAAGGAGATAAACAGTAGCAAGTTCTAGATGTGGGGACCCGTTTCTTCTGAATAACTAACCGTTTTAAGGGCAAGGAAGAGACCCACCAGCACACCATCTGTAATTCCACCAGTAACACACAGAGGCTAGATCTGCATCTCACTGAGCCATGATCAGCTATTTAAACCTTGGCCTTAATAAGCTAATCAGAACCTGTCCTGAGTGTTGCTGTGGTGAAGAGGGTCTGGGGAAGTGGGTACTGATACAGGAGGTAGGGGACAATGGGAAAAACGTTGTTCCTGCCCAGGGACACAAGGTCTGTGGCTGCAGGTTAACTCCAGGATTTGAGCCCAGTCCGGACAGGGAGTCTGGATGGAGAGCTTCATGTAACTCGTCAGAAGTCAAGCCGGGGGCGGGGGGTGGGGGTGGGACCCTGCTGGTGGGGAGACCCAGGGAAGTGTAACAACGATTGTGAGAGCACAGGACCGGGCAGTGTTTCGTTCTGTTGTACATAGGGTCGCTATGAGTCAAAACCGACTCGACAGCACCTGACAACATTATTGTAAATATTATAATTATTCCCTTTTCAGGAATTCAGGAGACAGTTAAGGTAGCTATAAGGCCAGAAAGGAGGGATGGAGGGGTGGGACAAGGAGAGCAGGGACAGTGTGGAACAGGTTATGGGCTGATGGCAGGTGCCCCCAGACTGTGGTCCCACTTTGGACCCATCCCCAAGAGCAAAGGCAGGCAAATCGCTCAGGGCAGAGATCTCCAGGCAGGAGGACAGAGATTCGGAAGGGGGCGGGGAGTGTGAAGATACCCAGGCAGCAGTGAGCAAGGCAACTCCTAGACACCAGCTAGAGAGGCTGAACCAAGGTCCCAATATGGGTGAGAAGCACGGACCAAGGAGGGCACAGTCAACAAGGGAGTGTCAGAGTGGTAGGAAGGATATGTAGCAAGGCCCAGAAGGCTCAGCCTGTGAAGACAGGAGGAGCCCAGAGGCAAGCAGGTTACAGGTTTCAAGGCTCCTAGGGTAGGCAAGCTCTCAAAAGGACTCTATCCTTGGCAGCTGTCCTGAGCTCAGGCCTGAAGAGCTCTTGGAAAGCAGTGGAATACAGTGATCAAGTGGCCCCCCTCACAGTCTCGTCCTGAGAGCAAGCATCCAGGGAAGTCTGGGGAACACCAAGGCAGGGTTTGGGGTCAAGCATGGGCCTAGGAAGGGCCAGAGAACACAGGAAAACCAAAAGCAGAAGGGAAAGTATGGGGAGCTAAGACAGGCTGAGAAAGAGAGTGAGGAACAGGCAGACGGTAGGAAGACAGACAGAGGGACAGAGAGGGAGACAGACAAGAGAAGCTGAGGGACCTAGGGGCAGTGACTAGGTAGAGGATATCTGGGCAGAGGTATCCAGCAGCCTCCTAGTAAGCGGAGAAAGTGCTGAGCTTCAGGAGAAGGTGTGAGGTAAGTGGAGTCTGATTCAGGAAGGGGGGCTTTCAGGGATGTGGGGGAGGAGCCTGGGGAGTGTGGCCTGGCCTGGCCTTGGCGATGACTTCATAGGCATCTCCCCCAACTCCTTCCTGAGCCGCCAGCCCTGGTGACCCCCTGCCCGCATCTCAAGGCTCTAGGCCAAGCAGGCGCTGACGGGAGAAAAGGGGCCCTTCTGGGCCAGGCCCCCAAGCCTGGCATTGAGCCTGCTGGGGGAGGAAGGGACTACAGGACCAGCCCTTGTCAGCATCCCAGCCGGCACTTCGGAGGCAATTAGCAGCCCAGCTGAGCTAATCCCCCGCCTGGCAAGGCCAACACAAACAGGCCCAGGCCGGGTGCACACTCGGCTCCCTGTTTGCTGAGGGGGCCAGTGGTCCGCCAAGAACAACACCAATAACCCGGGGCCTTCACTAGGTTAAGAGGAGGACCGGGGCCTGCTGAAGAGCGGACAGTGCCTGACAGAGCATACTCTGGCAAGGTGCCCTAGCTGCCCCAGAAAGGCAGCCACTGTTCCCAAGCCTTGGGCCAGCAAGGAAGAGGAAACTAGACACAAGGAGCCATGTATTCTCAATCAGCACACATCCCCATCCCACCCATGCCACTTGTGAGGGAAAAGGCCCAGCTCAAGCTTGTGCCACCTTGGCCAGACCAACAATTGAAACCAAGAGGGGCTGTGCCCTCTGCACAGGACCCAAGAAACACATGCTCCATGCTACGCAAGGAAGCCCAGATGCAATTCCTACCTGAACCCCACCCTCAAGGAGCTCACAGTCTAGTGAGGAAACAGACTGTGCTTGACCTTGAGGCAGAACCAATCCTTAGCCCCAATCAACACCTCCCAGACTTGGAAAGGCTAATGTAGGACCTCCAAAACCAGAAGGTAGAGGGGACCCAGGAGGAGAAACAAACAGATCCAGAAGTTGACAAATTGGGGAGATGGTACCCAGGGAGGCAGAAGGGGCCCAAGACACAAGCTTTGCCATAGACTAGTCCTGGACCAGGAAGCGGCTCCTCTGGGCTTAATTAGCTCAACTCAGCAACCACTGGGAGAGCCCAGACCCCAAACAAGGCCCTCCTAATGCTTCCCCAGCCCCTATTCTTGATTCCAGACCAATTTCACCCTCATTGGCCCTAGAACCAGGGGCAGCTCCTTTTTGAGCCAAACCTTCTATCCTCAATTTAGCTCCTCACCTACTTAGGTACCCCTTCTCCTTACCCTCCAAGTCCTCAAAGGCCTCCTGCCAGGGCTAAAGGTAAAAAACAAAAGCTTCCTTGAAGCTTCTCTTGGTAAGATGACAGGCATAGCCTACTCTGGGAAGTCTTCTCAATGCCCCTACAGCACATTGCGATCATCAACACACCACCACCACCACCATTCACGGAGCACCTATCGTCTATGGATCAAGCCCACGTCAAACCACCACTCTACCAGCATTATCCCATGTCACGGTCACAAGAAAAGAACTGATCATAAATATTTCTCCCTAAGCTAGGGCTGATATATGGTTTATCCCTAATTTATCTCCCACAGAAGGGAAGAGAATTGCCTAGGGCCAAAGCCCAGGTCTTCAGACTTCTGTTCAAGGCGTAGTGTGTCACCAGGGCCCTCCTCCAGCTCCACTAGCCTCTCCATTTCCTTTACCCCATTATTGGCCCAGCCCTTTGATGCTTCCTAGGCCAAAGCACCTCAGAGCCTTGGGACCACCCCTGCCACTCGTCCCCACAAGCAGCACTGTCTGTCTCTGGCTAGG